CATCACAACCATAATAAACCACTCAGCAATCGCAGGCGCGTGCTCATAGGACATGCATAATCAACAAAAACATGCATTCTACGAAGGGCTCCCTAACTGACTACCCCGAAGTCGTCGCTCCTTATCACTCCAGGTCTCGACCTTACTGATATCGAGCTAACCTTGCTCTGATACCAATTCAAACGGGGATATCACGCCCCGAACCCCCATCGAGCTCACGATCTCCCTTGCTCCGGTCGAACAGTTGCGACGTCCCAGGAACGTCGCCGACCCAACCCAAACATCAGAGCCACATGCGGAAACGGCTATTAAAAACCCCGGACAAAAAGATGACGACAACATGGTAGAACACCATAACGATCAAACAACAACATAACCATACAACACCAAATATACAAACATTTTATTATAGATATAAATACAGACGAACATCCTCAGCCACCGACTTAATAAAAATATCAGGGGTCTGGTTAACCTAACTTCACTATAGGTCTACCCAAAACTACACAGCCCTTAAAATACCCTACGGAAAAACCTAAGGGTCGCCCTTCTTCATTCTGCTCCTGAATCTCTGGCTTGAGCCTCCGAAAACTCACCTGCAGCTCCACTGGGCACCAAAACAGCTCCCCGGACTTCCAAAAGAGGAGGCGGACTTTCCGGGTTTACTGCTGGGGGTCTGAAATTGTGGATAATACAACTATGAGACGAATCTCAATAAGTGTACAACCCCAAACCCTACATAGGCACTCACGTACCGCCAGACGAAAACACGCATAACACACGACAATCAATCAAACTAACAACCACACACGACCCTACCTGGAATCCATCATACACGTCCCTGCACGTTACACAATAACACAGCCAACATATCGCAGCAATGATTCATAGACGCGCACGTGCCTCAATTATAAGATAAAACCCACTTGGGCATGTCACATGCCGTGCCTAGCAGTTTTTACCCCATAATTAAGCGTCACATCACGTGATACAAGCACACTCGTACACTGACTCACACCACGCATCCCTTTCGCAAACCTCGCACCACAAGCCAAATTCCTACTCATTCTCAACTTTTCCACCACTACCGCACCCGCGTAAAACGCATCAGGCCAACGGTCTTTTGACCTCGTCAGGCATCGACACCCCGTCGGGCCGGGCATCGTCACCTCGTCAGGGACGGCATCGTCCCGCGTAAACGAACACGCCTCAGGACGAAATCCTACACACACTTTACTTCTATCGCGCCCGCGTAAAACCCATCAGGCCAACGGTCTTCTGACCTCGTCAGGCATCGTCACCCCGTCGGACCGGGCATCGTCACCTCGTCAGGGACGGCATCGTCCCGCATAAACGTACACGCCTCAGGACGGATCCTTTACAACAAATCCTACATTTCCATACCCTCGTTCCACTCAAACCACTCTACACACGACCAGCAACCGCACAACCAAACATACACATTTCACATACATTTCACAATACACGTCCTCATTACACGAACACACCACCCGATCACACATATTTAGCACACGAACTCAATGAGCATTCACATTACCACGCCACCACACCTCACGGCCATACGCATACGACACATCACCAATCCACAATCAGTCCAGAACACATTCCAAATCAGTCTACAAACACAACCAGCACAAACATTCCAATCAGCCCATTCAAGCCACAATAATTCCAATCAATTACACAAATTAACCGCGATCGCTCCACACATCACCGCCATCATCGAGCCTCCAAATCCTCACAAATTTCTTCGTGAAATCAATCCCCAAATCAGCCCACGACATTCAAATACCAGCCGTCATCTCAGCCCCCAAAACAGCCACATAAACCCCTAAACCGACCCTAAACATGTCCTACGATACCCGAAGTCCTAGATAGTTTTTGGGGAAGACACTTACCCCGAAAAAGCGAGACAAACAGTAATGGACAGAGGCCGGGTCGGCCGAAACGGAAGCAACAATGCCAAGCGGCAAAGCAGCAGCATGCCGCTGGGGCCAGCGGGCGAGTGGCCGAGCCGCTTTGGGCGGGTGGTCGGGCGGCGACGTTCGGCCAGCTGGGGGCGGCGATCTGGTCGTACAGGGCAGGGGAGGGCGGCCTGGGGTGGCTCGGCGGCAGCTTGGCCGATCGGAACAGGGAAAGACAGAGAGAGAGGAGAGAGGCGGACGGTGGCCGGAAAGGAGAAGCAGCGGCGCCGGGCGGCTGGGCTGGGCGGCGACCGGCGGCGGCGAGCTGGTGGCCGGCCTTGCTGGGTCACGCACGAAGGAGAGGGGAGAGAGAGAAACCGATCGGTGGGGGGGGGGGGTGGGGGTGAGGAGAGAGAGAGAGAGAGAGAGAGAGAGAGAGAGAGAAAAGGATTTTAAAATTCTAACCCCAATAATTGCACCCCGGAAATTACCAAAACACCCCTCTAACTACCCCTCCGATCTAATGGCCAAGAATCAATCTCATCCAAATCCGACGGCCCACGTTAAATCGTATCCAACAAGTCAATGGGCAAAAATGTAATTATCCAAAAAGGGAGAGGGGCATTCTTGTCCTTCAATTTTCGGCCACACTGGGTATTTCTCAGTCCCCCGACTTAATCCAGTCCTTAAAATTCGTTCGCGATCCCAGGGGCAAAACGGTCATTTTTCCGGTCCCGGGTCGAAATTCCATTTTTCGCCCGTACCAACCACAAATGTGTGTGGCCACTCAGAAATGGTGTCGGATTCGTAAAAATAGCCTCCTAAGCCCTCGAAAATCGGCTGCGAATCCGGAGGAATAAAATAATATTATTTTTTACTTCATAGCCAAAATTCCAATTTTCGATCGTACACACTCCAATTATGCGTGGCCACCCCAAAATGGCATCGGCCTCGAAAAATAACCTCATACGGCCTCAAAATCGACATCGGAGTCCACAGGGGCAAAATCGTAATTTTTCTAGTCCCGAACCGAAATCCATTTTTTTGCAGAAATGGGTGGCCCCAAGGTTGGCCAAGCCAAAAACGTCATCGGCCGCTCAAAAACGTCACTTTCAAAATTCTCGATTCCCGGGCCCGAATTCCAAGAAATGACTAAAATCGAACAATCGCGACTTTAGCTTATCTCTTGCTAACGGGTGGCTCATTGGGATTACGCGCTCTCGACCCGTGACTGACACTAAGTCAAATAACGTTTAAGTTTGCTCGAACCAAGGCGCCCTCGATTGTCATGTAATTGCGATGGTCTGTCGCTAGTTCCCTTCGGACACGATCAATCAATTAGATCGGTCTCGGTTGGCTCAAAACATTCTCTCGTCAATCCTTATGGTCGAAGGTCGAACCAAGGTCGAGTTCTTTGGTTGTGCGAACTCAGTCCCGTAATGGCCTTACTCCTAAGGTTAGCATCCTGTAAATGCGCATTTCCGGGTGAGATCTCACTATAAGTGCATTGGCCAAAATATTCATTTCTTAAATCCCGGGAAAAGGATCGAAAATTCGGACTGTTACAGCCGCCCTCACCTAGGCAGGCTAGGGTTGCCTCACCCCACGCCAACAAGGGCGGCCCTTGCTTGAAGCCGGCGAAGGTCACCAACTAGGTGCAATGATGGCTGGGGATGCAAGAAGAAAAAAGGAAAAAAAAAAGAAAAGACAAAGAAATTAAAAAATACAAAATTATAATTTTTTAACTAAAATACCCTTTCTCCAACGACAGAATAGTCACCAGCCGCCCAAAGGTCCTTATTTGAGACGATTTAGCCACTTTATGCTTTTATTTGAGACGATTTAGCCACTTCTTGTCCTTATTTGATACAATGTCCACTTCAGGCCCATTTTGGAATTTTCCCAAGTTTAGGATAAATGTATCACAGTGAGCATATTTGGGGCTTTTTATGTCACAAAAAAAGTTAAGGATAAATATGTTATAGGACATAGTTTGTGGTTTATTGTGGCTTTGTCCCTTTAAAAACACTAAACACTTGAAACCTGATCAATTTTAAAAAAAAGGGTTAATATTGCCAAAAATCTCAAATTGGTACACCGATAACACATTTACTCCAAATTATATACACCTACCACATTTACTTAAAACTAATTTTCATGTCATAAAAAATATGTGAAAAGTTCAAGAATTTTTGCGATGCGAAAATTAATTTAAGGCAAATGTGGCACGAGTATACTGGTTTATAATTATTTTTGTGACACAGAAATTTATTTATTTTTTGTCTATCATATCTCTAACTCTTCTACGGGAGTGGAAGACTCGCACCTCTGATACTAGCGTCCCCACCCCTTAATCCTTTTACCATTAGAGCCATATGCCTATTGACGTCTTAGAAAATTAATTAACTTCATTTATTTTGTCTCAAATTAGCTATCGCATCATTAAACGGCCTAATTCACTAAAACATCCTAACTTCATGTTCAATTTCAATTTTACCTCGAATTTTTTTTGTTTAAAAAGATCACAAACTTACACTTGAGTCCTAAATTTGCCCACGTTAACCTTCCTCCCAAAATCACCGTTACTTTCTTGCTGATGTTCCATACGAAGGTAAGGGCATTGATGACACATAACCTCGATACGGATAATTTGGAAAAAAAAAACTAGCGGCGATTTTTTTAATGGAGGAGAGTTGATTAACATGGTAGATCTGAGACTACATTGAAAGTCGATGATCTTTTTTAGACAGAAAAAAAGAGAGTTCGAGACCGAATTGGAATAAAACTTAAAGTCTTCGGGATTGTTTTTTTGAGGAAATCAAGCCCTCATCATAACCCACTTAATATGACATGATAATAGTTTCTTTCATGAAAGAGGAAAAACAAAAGAAGAGAGAGAGAGAGAGAGAGAGGGGGTGTGTATCTCTAATCCTAGAACGATAAAAAAAAATAAGGCAAAAATCATAGCCGGGCGAATATAAAAGGGAGAATTGCACGCAACCAACGCGACACATAGAGAGAGAGAGAGAGAGTGGAGAAGGGTTTTTGCTTTTGGTTCGCGAAGAGAGAGAGAGAAGAGAGAGACACACACAGCACAGCACAACACAACACAACACTGCGACACACCCAGAGAGAGAAAGAGAGAGAGAGACGCAGAGAGATATCTTTCGTCTTCTTCTTCTTTTTCTCCTCCTCTTCGCCGCAGAAGTATCTGCAGACGCGGAACCAGGAATACCCATCTCCTATCGGGCGCCATAGAAGGTGGGAAACCGACCCAGATTGGTTGGATCTAGCGATTTGCTCGAGCGAGAGCGGGAGGGGAGAGGTGGGACGGAGGGAGGAATGGGGAGCAAAGGAGGCGGCGGCGGCGGCGGCGGCAATGGAATTTCGACAATCCCCGCGGGGTCGAGGAAGATTGTGCAGAGCCTGAAGGAGATTGTGAACTGCCCGGAGCTGGAGATCTACGCCGCCCTCAAGGAGTGTAACATGGACCCTAACGAAGCCGTCAATCGCCTCCTCTCTCAAGGTCCTCCCTTTCTTCTTTCCTTTTCTTTCAACTGGGTCTCGTTCGTGTTGCGTGCGGTCGCTCCGTCTTGCCCTTTTGTTTCTAGGGCAAAAGGCATGAGGGTAGGGCGAGACGGGCTTTGAAATTTTCTAGGTCTTGTTGTTTGGGGAGGGGGGCCTTTGCGTCGATGGAGACTGGTGGTGGGGCTTAAGGGTCGCGTTAAAGACGGTTTTTTTGAGCTCTTTTTGTGCGTTTTCTGGCGTTGGTTGCTTAAATTTGGCTTTCGGGTGATTGAAGTTTGAATTTTTCGGGAGCCCCGAGTTCTTTCTTGAACTGCTTTTGAGAACATCTGGGTGTCAATTGGCCCTTTTTCGTTTTTGTCACTGGGTTTGAGCTGCTGTGTCTCGCATTTCGGCGAGGCGTACGTCTGTTGTTGTTGCCTTTGCTCTGCTTGCTCTCATTGTTTTGACATATCATTTTTAGAAAGCGTTGGGCTTTTGTTGCGAGGCCAACTACCCACTATGCCTAGTTAGGAGTTTAAGTTGCACTAGTTAGCTCTTAGTCAAAAAGCCGAGTCTGGTGTAGCATTGAATGATCTGACTCGGCGTGGGAGTCGGTTGAGTGAGTGGATCGCCAGCCTGAGGAGGGGGGAGGCATGATCCTTGCTGTCTGTGGTACTGTTCTAATTTTTAGTGACTTCTGGAACCAAACATCGTCACGGAAAGACCTTGAAATTCAAGGTGGCACTGCTATATAATATCATCTCCATGTTAACTGCATGTGGATCTATATCACTTAGACGTTATTCTGCGAGGGCGAGCCCCAATGGTTCATCTTAGATCAAATTATGGTTTTTAGTCTTGTTCTTTTGTCTATGTGTCGCACTAGAACCTCTTTCTACGTTTTTTTTGCTATGATATGCAAATCGATATGTCCCTTTCCAGCTTTTGCCGTTGCACCGAAAATGGATTAGAACAGCCTGTACCCCTCTACATGATGAAGGTTCGGAAGGGTTGATATTTCGTCTTTAAAGCACAGCATTGAAGACGTTGATGTTCTTTATAGCAGAAATAATTTGGATCGATTGACCATGAATTGTCATCTGTGGCCTTGCACCTGTCATTTTCTATTTAGACTAACAGAGAGACGTGTGTAATACGAAAATATATGTCTGAACGTGTCTTGCAAGTACTATATTGGGAATTGCTAGGAGTTCTCTTGCTGATCGTTTTCTATCTTTTGTTGGCCATGGGCTTTAAGCTTTTGCCACTTTGAATTGTTTCTTTATATTACCTTATTGCGAATTGTTTTTGTATAATGTTTGACTTATGAACTCCTTTACGTAATAATTCGCAATTGCAAACTTTAAATTAATTAATATAGCAAGTATTTGTCTGGTATTTGGTGACGTTTGACTTTCTTTCTGATGTGAAGCTTATTGATGTGTAGATCCTTTTCATGAGGTGAAGAGCAAGCGAGAAAAGAAAAAGGAGGTGATTGCCCTTGCTGTTCATAGTATTTTGTGGGGATGCTAATCTTTTCATTTGTGTGTCCATTATAATACTGTCTGCCAACACTTCGATGATACTTTGAGCTTTTTCCAATGCCGGTCTGTGATTTGATAATTTGGATGACAAAATCAAGAGTTTGAAGCATGTCAATATTCTGAATACATGAATTATGTCTTAATAAAATCAGTACTAGTCGTGATTTCAGTTTCTGTTGTGCTTCAGCTCGAGTATTAGTGCATTTTTGTGTCTATTTGTGGCCTCTACCTCTATTGGTTTGTGTTCTTTCCTTCCTGAATAAATTAAGTTGTAGGTTTCTTGTTTGTCAAGGCCATTATTCATCAAATGCTTATGTTACTTTTGTAATTGTAACAAATCAAAGTATTTATCTTTGGCCATGGTAATAGTTATCATAAGTCCTCTACTCTGTCGTAGTTTCTTTAGTCGATTTGTTGTTGCTGGAGCTGCTTCGCTTATTTATCAGTTGTTTTATTTATGATCATTTGAATGATTTGTTTTGCAATGTAAATCACTTATTCAGAGCAAAGACCCAACAGACTTGAGACCTCGCGGGGCTATTACCACATCAACTCGTGGTGGTCGGAGTGGTGCTGAACGCTATGCTGGTCGTGGTCGTGCAAATGTGCCAAGCTCTAATGGTATTTGAATTTATGAACCTGATAAGACTTTGGCTTTTATGTTGTAGTTTGAGGGAAGTTCATTAATTTGTTCCTTACATTTCACCTTTCTGGCAGAGCCTGGTAAACCTCCATATAAGAAGGAAAATGGGTCACATGTTTACGCAGGTTCTTCATCTTCTGCTTATATTATGTCGGGAAATAGTGTGAACCGGCAAATCACGCACAGGTTATTCCTTTTACAACTCAGACTCTCCAAACTGTCTTTCTACTTGTCTGATTGGCTCTTAGGAAATTTATCACTGCATGATTATTGGTAAATTTTATCACTACATGATCTAGATCCGTTAAAAAGGTTTTTTCTTCTCCATTTTTTTATTTTTTGGGAGTCTTGCTACTCTTTTCTTGTTGCCACGCCATGATATTGTTTTATCCCTTTTTTTGTATGCTTCTCTGAGTGGTTCACTTCTCAATAACGACCTAATATATTGCTTACTGGTATATTATTATTAGGAATGTTTGAATGTGGTCGCGAAGCAATTCAACTTCTAATCTCATGTATTGAATATCGACTGTGAATGATACATGTAGAATTGCTACATTCCCCCAGGACTTTCAACAGCCATTGTTGCAAACTTTTTTGTATGTTTAATTGTCCTAGAAAACACAACAGCCTGATAATGTCTTTTTTATTGTAAGATTTGCTGTTAATTTTTACCTGTGGCATTGGATAATCTTAATTTTACTTGAAATCTCCCTCAGTGATGCTTCGGCCTGGGAAAATAAGGTGTCTGCAGTAGGTGAAAGTGATCTCATATCTTCATCAGTTCAGCCTTCACAAGGATTGCAACGAGCTTGGGCAGGAGTCCCTGGTCAAGTATCAATGGCAGATATAGTGAAGATGGGTAGGCCACAAGGCAAGGTTTCTGGGACCTCGAATGCACCTATTCATCAAGGTGTCCTTCCGCCTTCTTCGGCAATTTCACATGATGACTTTCAACAATTGGATCAATCTTCTAGAGTATATATGTCAGATCCCAATGATGACTGGCCCTTGGATGAGCAGCAGGCACCTCCTCCTAGTGATGAGTGGCCTCCATTTGAGAATTCACGGACTGCAGTATCCTCTACTTTGGATTCACAAGTGGTGGAATCAAAACTGTATGGAGGTCCATCTGACTTGCCCTTGGATGGAAGCGGCCAGCATTTGACATCCGAGCTTGACAATGTTCATCTTTTAGAAGATGGATCTTTGGAAAACAATGCAAACCACATGGGACTTGCTTCAATATCCAACAGAAACATTCAGGACGATGATGATGTAGAGAGATCTTATTTGGAGAACAATGTCTATCAGAACATCAACGCTTTCCAGCCTCACTTGCATTCATATGAGCATAATGAAGGTGATTACATTGATTAAACTCATGTTCTTGGTGGGTTCTTTCCATGCACTTTATTATTATTGGTTTAGGACATAACTCAGTTTGTGCAATTGACATCTTTCTTTTTCATTTGGCTCTTAATGTCTCTATATGCTTATATGATGAGCTGTTGGCCTTTCCTTTTTAGCCAAGTTGTTTTCTCTTGTATGATCTTGCTGAGTTTGATGTTTACTTCACACTGGTCTGTTGAGTGGGTTTTGGTCTCTCAACTGAATACGATATCCTGTGACTTAAGTGCCATTGTCTTGAGTTACTTTATGGCACAGCTAATTGAGATTTGCTTATAGTTCTAGTGATGAAATATTTTGCAAATACATCTAGATAATACAGGTTTTGCATGGCGTGTCTCCAATCTGCATTATGGATTGTAATGTCTGATCTAAATATTTCGCGGTCAAGCTCTACGTTTTTACCCCATGTTATGAACCATTTAATATCTAGTCATTTGGGACAATGCTAATGTTCATTTGTACTTGCGATTCTTTAGCTGAAGATGTTACGACAGTGGCTACAAACTTGCAACAACTAAATTTACAGAACAGTGATGAGGAATCATTATCTGAGGAAGATGGTCCTGCTGTAGTAATTCCCGACCACTTGCAAGTCCATACACCAGATTGCCAGCACCTGAGCTTTGGTAGTTTTGGTTCTGGAGCTGGTGCTAGGACCTTGAAAAGTAATTTGTCTGAAACACAACCAGTTACAGATGCTTCTTCAGTTGCCCTGTCTGACACCAGGTCCATTGTCCAAATCAAATCTATCCATTTTATGTCCTCTTTCATATTATGGTTTGAAACTGATACCCTTTTTGCTACATCCAGAAATACGGAACATTATGGTGATGAGCATCTTAGGCCCCCTTCAGATGGAGATGATATGCATGTTACTGTTGCAAGTGCTGGGAGCTATGAAGCTCCTTCAGCTTCTCAACCAGACTCGTTGAAGCAGCAGTCAGTTGAAACTACTTCAGGGAATCAGTACAACTTCCCATCATCAGCACCTGGTTTCAGTTATGATAATGCCCAACACCTAAATGCTGCATTTAGTCACCAGCAAACTAGCTCACAGTTGCAAAACCTTGCTTCTTTCTCCAGTGTACTGGTAAGATAAAAGATCTTTCCCAGTCTAATTTTGGAGAAAGCTAGGTTCATGGGATACAAGTGTGCATGTGGGGGTTTATGTGCATGAACTGTAAGACCTAAGTCATATTTCAGATAAAGCATTGACTGGTGGGTAGAAGGGCGACTGCATCAGCAAACGTTGATGCATGTTGTGTGATCTGCTGAGAGTGTGTGAGGACCCTATTTAATGACCAGTACTCTTAATGAACTCCTTCTGCACTTTTCAAGATGCCTCAGAGCTTGGAAAGTTTAAGACAGAGAAAACCATTAAGCTCTAACTTATGCTGTAATTTTCAAAATGAAGGAGTAAAGTTATTTGGCCAATGATCCTGTTCTATAATTCAAGCAGAACTCAGAACATAATGTCACTGCTGACGTGTAAAGTTGGGTCCGAATTCTTAATTCTCCTTTCTGGGAGAGAGGGAGAGGGAAGGTATAAAATGTATGAAAGGTGCTTGATTTGATTAATTAGGGCAAGGCATCTTTGAGTGATAAATAGACCACTGAATTGCTGTTAGGAAGTATTTCTGTTCTAAAGCTAGTTTGGACAACTGTAAAGTGGACCTTTGTGAATGAGCTTAACTTGTGCTAGGCTTGCCTCTTAAGTAGTATTAGTTGCTCTAGCTTTATCATGCAGGTGTTGCTGCACATTTGCATCATTGACAATTAACAGTTCTAACTTTCATTTTCATGTGGCACAAATTGCAGCCGTCGTATTCAAGTTCATTACCCAGTGCTTTATTACCTTCAACTGTTCAGACAGGAAGAGAGTCTGATTTTCCATACTTGCCCTTCCCTGTGACGCAGTCAATGCCCACAAAATTCAGCAATCCAACTTCTTCAATGAGTAGTTCGGTCATTTCTACACCAGAGGTACTATTGCCCTTTTCTTCTTTTTTATGAGCTCTTTCTCATTTATTACCTTTAAGGGTAAACGTAGCTTGGCATTCATTATATTTGAAAGGTTGGCAAGTGGTTTAGGACTTATTATAGACAACCATTTAATACGGTTGATACTATTTGAGAATCTAAATATTAAATCATACATTTATCTAATAGCTGAATTTTTTAGATAAGTTGGGCAGTGGGTCTATATATTTTAAGTGATAATGAGAGTAACATGTTTATATGTTTGAATTTCTCCAGCCCCTGTTTGCCTCCTAATTTATAACAATTTCCATACTTTGATTGTATTATAGCCTATAGATAAGGTGCTTTGTTAGTTTGTTTGAATATTGGACAACCATTTAACAACTTAAGCTTATAAATAAGTAGGCATTCGCCATATATATTTTATAGATGCTTACTGGTAGCACAGGATTTGTTATACCTGAACTAACACCTCGAATGTTCATATTAATGGGAGTCCATGGAGGCATAATTGAGCTTGTAAAATTGTCGTCTGAATTTGTTACTATTGTCTGCTCTTAGGAATCATTAAATTTGTGGAGCTTCACATCCTTCCACCTTTTTCCCACTTAGACTTGAGCAGAAAGAATGCCAAGTACATGCTTGTGTCCTTTTAATTTATCGTAACTACTCCTACAGTTTGCATTTTCATTTTCTCTTGGTTATGGAAGTCACATTATTGTGATGTTTTGATTGCAAGGAAAAAGAAATCTTACATGAACAATTATTTCTTGAAGGATCAAAGGGCAGTGAATGTGAAATCCTTCCAAGGGGACGTCCTATAATTTCTGCATGTTGTTTTTAGAATCAGTATCGCATGTTTCGTTATATTGAATGTGAAGATGGTTCCATTGAACCTTTGAGTTTAATTTGTCAAACCAGGGAAATGTTATAGGTCCAGAAGTAGGCCATTTCAGGTTCTCAGACAACTGTAGTTCATTATTTCTAGGAGAGGATGTGTGCCAAACTATCATCGCAGGGTGTTGCTCTTGACAGAAACGTTGCATGAATTTTTTTTTTTTTTGTGGGGGAGAGAGAGAGAGAGAGAGAGTACTAAGGGGGACATTTCCATTGGGTGACTGATGACCTTGTTTTCTGTGTGATTTATTTGCTCTTGATTTTACTTTTCTATCTTCGATACCGATTTTCCCCATCATCACTTCTCTCTCAGAATAGACACTCAAAAAGAATACCTAAAGAAGAAAAAAAAGGAATTGTTATTCTGTGTCCCTTTTGATATAGCATGCTGATAATTTTTATTTGTTTCTTTTGGCAGGCTTTCAGAGCAGCTAATATCTCTGGAGCTCAGCAAACTCCCCAAAGCCTCTCCAATGCTGGCCTCTCTGCAGGACCTGCTCTTCCTCAGCACCTTGCAGTGCACCCTTATTCACAGCCTACCCTTCCTCTGGGCCATTTTGCAAATATGGTCAGTTACCCTTTCTTGCCTCCGAGCTACTCATATGTGCCGTCAGCTTTCCAGCAAACATTCACTGGCAATAGCGCATATCATCAATCTTTAGCTGCTCTTCTTCCCCAATACAAAAATAGCCTCTCGTCTAGCAGCTTGCCTCAGTCTGGTGCGATTCCTTCTGGTTATGGGTTTAATGGTTCAACGGGTATTCCTGGAGGGAATTTCTCACTAAATCCACCAACTGCACCTGCGCCCACGACTTTAGGATATGATGATGCTTTGAGCTCACAGTACAAGGACGCCAACAGCTTACTGTCTCTTCAGCAGGTAATTGTTTAATGACTGTTGTCGTGGCAGTAGATAATATTTGCTCAAAGTAGTGGGCCAAGAAAGAGAATGTTCCTCCTGTGATTGCCTGACACAGTCAGTTTAATTTGATGGAAAAATCATAATGAAACCTTTTAGGACTTTAGTTTAGAATAAATACCTTTTCTGGTTTCAATTGCTAGCAATCTGCCCTGGTTAGGTGTTTGTACTCTTTGTGGCCAAAGAAAGCTGTCTATACTCCACATTTGTTCTTTCATAGTAGTTTTATCCCGTGTTACGTGAGTTAAGTGGGATGTAAATGGAACGAGAGAGAAAATAAGTGAGGGGAAAGGAAAGAAGATTGTAATTTGTCTCTCTTGCTTATTTTAACGGTAAAGGAAAATGATGAGGGAAATTGAGTTAATCGACAGTCTAAAACAGTTCTTGCCTTTTGTAGTTTAATATTCTTTATTAAGAGCACTTTTTCATGTAACTGAGTTAGACACAATTTCCCTTCCCCCCATTTCTCTCCAATGCTGGGGATTTTTTCCCCTCTCTTGTCCCGAAGGGAAGTAGTTTCCTTCAATTCCTTTCATTTCTTTCCTCTCCATGATAACCCAATAATGAAGGTATTTCTGTAGGTATCTTTCCTCCCGCCTCCTTTCACCTCCACTCATCCAAGCAAAGTGTATCTTGCCTTTTGCATTTTATTCTTTATCAAGGGTGCAGTTTGCATGTAACCAAGTTAGACACAATTTCCCTTCCCCCCATTTCTCTCCAATGCTGGGAACCTATTGCTCTCTCCGGTGCCAAAGGGAAGTAATTTTCTTCACTTCCTTTCATTTCTTCTCTCCATGATGAAGGTACTTCTGTAGGCCTTTTTTCTCATACTTCCATTCACCTCCACTCAGCAAAACAAAGTGTTAGGGTTTGTCCGATATTGCGATATTTGTGTTGTAGCTTTGTTGTGGTGCAGTTCTACTGGAATCTGTTGTAGTTTTGGTAACACACATTTTAACTTGCAATACCTTGAAGCTGGATCTGACATGACGTGTTGCAACTGTGAGGATGTTGCTCTGAGGTGTTTGCTTAGTACTACTTTTTGAAAGTCGAAACAGCCATTCTAAAAGCTGTAATTGTAGTGATATAGAACATCCTCTTAGTTTATGTGTCTTCTTCATGGTTGCTTAAAAATTAACCAATCGTTCTTCAAGAAACTTATAATAGACACTTTTACGGGGGCAAAGTGTGGATTGCTGAGATATGCTCACGGTCTATCGTCATAAACTCCCAAATGCTATAAAGTTTCTTTCACTAGTTAACTCGTTCATGTGGATGTCATCCTAACCATTGCGTATGTTCCTCAGAACGAGTGGCTTCAAGGACCTGGTGCGCGTACAATGCCTACAGTTGCAGCCAATACATATTACAACTTCCAAGGGCAAGCTCAACAACCCACTGGTCTCCGACAAGGACAAGGCCAACAGCCTTCTCAGCACTTTGGTTCTCTTAATTACCCAAACTATTACCAGTCAGCTGGGATCTCACTGGAACATCAGCAGCAAATTGCTAGAGACGGTTCGCTCGGTGGCTCACAAAGCCAGCAAGCTAAACAGTCCGCTCAGATATGGCAGAACACCTACTAATCTTATTCCTTCCCGTCTTTTTTAGGGTTTAAGTTCTCGGTTTGAAAGTGGCCAATGAAAGGCATCCATCTGCAGAGTGGAATCATCATGTATCGTTTGGTGGTCCTTAATGGACCTTGGCTGGCTGCCTCTTTGTGCCATGAGGTTGTATTTTACAGATACCCTTTCGAGTTAGGTTAACTTAGGGACATGTGCTAATTCGGAATGGTGGATTTTTCTGTCGCTTGTTTCGTTCTGTTTTGCTTTGTTTTTTGCCTCCTTCCTTGTCCTTGTGTTTCGCTCTTTTCATAGAGAAATTGCATTTACTTCAGATGTACCGGCCCGTGTAATTCTTGTGCTCTGGTCATGATCTAACCTCATAGATGTGGTTCACCACTAGACACGAGTATGACAATGTTGTCCGGTTGTATCTTGTTGTACTGCTTAATTGGTTTGAGAACCAATCTCAAGCGCTTCTGTGGGGGGATGTGGGAGTATGCAAGTATTTTATGTCGAAAATATCATGTGAAAGGTTCTTTCTAGTGCTAGTAAACGATGATTCTGTGGGAAATCATCGACCACCCGTAAACTTGGGCTATGTGAAGTACTAATTGTCCACGACTATATTGCTTTCTGGGTATAGAGGTTGGAATCTCTATGGCCATGAAAGCGATGGAACGTGAAAGGCCGAGGCAAAAGGTGGTTTCCAATGTATGGAGAGAACAGAAGCCAGTGGCTTGTGCATAATAAATTGCACAAAAGAGTCGCACAATCTCTAGATTTCTACGTCAAGTGCATTGTGAAACGTTAAATTTCCTGATAGAAGCCAATGGCACTTGATATCATGGAGTCCGATGTCCAGCTTTTGTTAAAAATCCATGAAGAAAAATAAAGGCGGAGAGAATTGATGTCAATTGTGGAATTTTCTCCGGAAAAAGGTAAATCCTATCGCTTCAGAACGGATGCTCGATGATCATTCTGTGCCTTGCGGCTGGTATGGATTCATCGGCTGCCAGACCAGGGTCATTGCTAGTCGAATCAGCCGAGCTGATTGCGAGTTATTTTCCACGTGAATTTGTCCATATAGAAATCGAAAGGGGGGGCGGCACAAAGGGTAAAAAGCTTTCGACCGGCAATGTGCTTAATGGTTCATCCAGGCGATTTTCCCTGCTCTCTTGTAAATTAATCCGTATAGTGTACAGAGTTATATCTTAATTTAGCATACATGTAAGTCACACAACACTTAAAAACAACGTAGGCCGAAGAGCCTGCTCTTTAATTTGACTGTCTTTTGGTGTAATGGCTTGCTCAATACCGTGTCAGCATATTCTCAATCCATTGCTATAATTCCATCCCTTAATTTTTCTGTAGTGGTTGACATAAATGAGGTTATTAGCACATCGTCTTAAAGGTTCATGCTCATCAAAGGCTTCGCGATTTATCATCGTCTCAATTTATGTTTGAGATGGTTCACGGCTGCAATAATAATAATAACTACAGTTCAATGTAAATACAAAGTCTTGTCTCGTCAAGTGGATTCTAGGATCCTTTTAAGGCACTCTAGTCTATTTTACCTCGAGTCCTTTCTGAAGATTTGTAAGGATTCTTGAAGGATGGATCCTTAATCTCTTGATGGAGTAACTCTCATATCTTGATCACAAATCATTTAAATTTTGTGTTACGACATTTATATAGGAGCTACGAAAAGAAAAATGTAAGGAGCCACGGTAAATTATAATCGGAGGTTCATCCTTTGGGAACAATAGAAGTGGCCTGTCTTTTCTAAGATCAAGAGATATGTGAGATCTTTACGCAAGTCACCTCGTTTGCCCTTTTTTCAGGCGTTCCCTCTGGTCATAAAGCCTTTTGACCCGCATCCTTATAGAGCCTCATCCTTCTTCTTGAACAGTCATATGATTGCCATTTTTTGGTTGTCTAAAGCATATGAAATCAACTTCTCTTTTCATCTCCAGTGAGGCCACACATATTGACCTACTGATTGGCGACTTTTCGACCTCGGATTCTCTACCTTTATCGGATGTCGCAGTCTACAGATATTGTCTTTGATAGATCTAAATGAGAATGATTCAAAAGTTCCCCTTGAAACTTAAGCTTGCCATGTACTTCCTCCATGTGTTTCGTCGGCCAAGTGAAGAGAGAAACTTAAAAGACAAACTTTGGCATAAGCTTTGTCATCATGGGAAGGTCGTCCATTGCTAAGCAATGTCCATGGAATTACCTCCTCCTGTTGTTATAGCAAAATTCGACAGCTTAAGATGATAAAGATCAGTCTTCAACACAACTCTAAATACGGTGAAAAACCACATCCTCTTTCGCTGGGAATCATTTCCATTAAGCTAAAATGGTTGCTCTAGTACTTGATTTACAGACCATAACCAGTTTAGCAGCCACCAAAAACCTCACAGAAGCCCATCCACATCATTCAGTAAATCCAGAAGCCAAATTGCCATTGACAGTTCAATTGGCATTAAAATCAAAAGCAACGAACTGTGTATGGATACGACCCTAACCTATGGTGGAGACACAATGTATTCTATCGGGTGCATGAATCATTTCAGAAGAGACCTGGTCAAGTGCTCTCTCGCTGTGGCCAATGCTTGACTTATTGACTGCAGAAAGTGGCGGGAAAGATTGAGAAATCAAACAGTGAAGAATATGTCGTTGAGCCATTCTGTTACGTACGGAAATCGGGTTGACCATACCTGCTCAGACAGAGGACCTCCAGCATCCACACTTTGACTTGCGACCTTCCCCGCTATCACATTCGGATCTGTTTCAAGAATAATGCTGCACGAGATACATTCGACATTAGTGTCTGCCAAAAAGAAAGGGGAGCTGATGGAGGAAGGGTGGGGTGGGAGCCTTTTAAGAGGGTTCTTTTACCAGTTGATAAAAGGTGCAGAGCTACAATGCGAGGATAACATACTGAGGACACCAAGAGCTCAATCTCCTCTATCACTACTAATGCATCGTTCCTCAAGATAAATAGTAAGGGGAACATGAAATGGAAAGAAATAATATAGCAAAGAAAATCGAGGAAATCTTAAAGGCACGATATCAAAAACGACGACCTGCTTGTCTCCCTTAACCCACCCCAAAACCAAATCCCCTCTTCCAGTAAAATAGCAAAACAAAAATTAGAGAGGTGAAGAAGAATGAAGGACGTACCACAACCTGATCAGATGTAATCAGGTTTTGGAAGTACTTGTTCAGGACTATGTATGGCACCCATGAACAATTCATTTACTATTTATGCTGAACTATAATGGTGATTATAAAAAGATTGTGAAGGTGTCAAGTAAAAGTTTTGACTGAAAGTAATCGTGCTAATAGAACACTAAAATCCTAATTCAAGTAAACAACAGACACCAGAATCCTACTTCAGATAGAATCATAGAAATAGCAATAAACTAGGCCTTTGATAACTATCTGAAGTGTTGGTATCAAAACATTCAACATTTAATGAGAACAAGCATGCTTGATAATGCCAACTAGTTCAGTACCAAATTCATTGGATAAGTTTAGCAAGGAAAGGGTTACTTGGTTTTCTAAATGGAAAAACCTGTAACGATACATCGAACATTACCAGTTATATTACTAAAATCTACCAATTATATCCTTATTAAATAGTATTGAGACTCTTATCCTACGTGATTCAACAAGGAGAGAAATCAAATATATCTTGACGAGTTCCAACCTGTTCAAGGCTGCTGGGCAAGGAAAAGTGGGAGGAGAAGGAGAAAGAGAAAGGAAATTGGCTGATTTTGAATATCCTTGCGGTTGCATTTCTAATGATTTGATTATGCAATTGGAAAAGATGCTACTTTGGTAAGTTCGCCGAGAACATCAATCGCTCAAATGAATGATCATTGCTACCTAAATGTACTTTTTTCTTTAGGACTTGTTCATGTAAAACTCACAACACGAACTTTATGGAAAGAAATACCGTAATTCCAAAAACTGATTCATTAAACATGGCATGGTCCTGACCCTGACCCTTAAACATTCTTCCCTGCTAGGGACAAGAGACACTATGTTGTGCTCAAATAGTATAGTTCAAATTCAGTGAAATAACTTCACCCATAAGATTCCTAAACCCAGGTAAAAATTTCACCAGCCATAGCCCTTGCACATATTGTAATAACAAGTACTCCTTGATCCCCCGAGGATCTAATCTCAGTAATAAGACATACAAAATTAGTATATTTTAGAATACTCCAGCAGGTATCCACAATGCCTCTCCATTTAGGGCAGTGATACTAAATATGAAGGCTTATTAGGACTTACCCGCCATCAACAATTTCATCAAGGCACATTAGGATCAGATCCAGGTTTTCTAATGCCTCCCTCTTCTCAACCTGGCCCCTGGAACAAGTGCCATCAGATGACATCAGAATTAACCAGTTCTGAAGAGACACACTAAGTATTAGAGTTAGTTAACAGGAGTGAGAAGAAACACCTTAATAGAATACCAACTGCATCAAAAAATCCTTGAAGAACTGTCGCTAAAATGAGCTCATTTTCATCTTCACCTCCAGTCACAAAAAAGTGAAGATTCTGTACAAATTTGTAAACGACAACGTTGTTTTCGAACATCGCTATTTCAGCTGTAAATGAAGTAGAAATCATTCAATTCTTGGAGGCAGTCAAAGTCAATAACAACTTCATCTTACAGAAGATTATAATTAAAACTTAGCTGATACAAAAATATCTAAAACAGGAAAGAAGAAAAATACGAGGAATGGGGTTTATAAGAACAAAAGAAGGATTCTGCAGTCACCACCACCATGTATAAGTACAGGACTATGAGTGAACCACTGCTGAAGCTCCAATAACTGCATACACAATTCCACTTCTCCGCAAATGAACCGCGAAAAGATGGCAGGGAGGGGTGACTTATCATGATTCATACAGTAAAGAAAAATTACTGACATCACATATGAGACCGACTAAAACAAATACCAAACAAGAGCATCATCATAGACTGGACTCAGCACAATAAGAGCAACTAAAACGAATACCAAACAAGAGCATCATAGACTAGACATCAGCATTAATCTGATATGATGGTCTACACACGACTACACACTGAAGCCATTGATTAGGTCTGAATTTTCTATTCCTTTTTACCTTCAGTCCGCGCATTGGTCTTTTGGGTCTTAGTGAATACCGTTTTCTCGAAAGCTTCCTTTGCGCTATTGGTCGGCCAGTCGTCGCAGTAGTACTTAACCGCAATGCGGTTTCCTTCAGAATCTAGCAAGAGCACATTCTTCACAGAAGGGCACAGCTCCTACAATGCATCAAAGAAATTCTCAAGAAAAGACAAACCCAAGATCAACAATCGCTGCTCATAATAAAATAGCAGCTAGCCGTCGAATTTGCTTAATGCCCACAAGAACAGCCTTGGATCAACCCCACCCACATTAACAACTAAAGTCGACCAGGAAAAAAAAAAAGCATTCTCGTTACATACAAAGTCCAACTTTCAAGAACGAAACCAAAACACAAGGACCCAGATCAAAACCCGTAATGCCCAGAAACCAGAATCCTCTCCAGCAGCAAGCACATGCAAGGAGATGATCACTGATCAGTGCGAGCGCAAGAACCTCAGCCATTTCTCACGGCCAAAGAGCTACCCATAGAACACTTAAAAGCCAAGAATTCGATCAAATGATGAGCGACATGGGTCGGTGAAGAGAAACAGAGAGAGAGAGACCCAACACACACCATGACGCGACCGCTTTGCAGATGTTCGGGGACCGCTAGCTCAGGGGAACCTCGGCGACGGAGGACTCGGAACGCTCGCGCGGAAACCTCCGCTAAAACTCAGTGCTGACTTCAGGGAGACGGGACGCAGAACAAAGAAAAGAGATAAGCACAAATAAATAGGCACTTAACATTAGCTCGACTAGCAACGTGTCCATGAATTCTAAATTTGTTTAACGTAGTTGATGAAATTTTGATATATATTTAATTTAATTACTGAACTGTATGAAAATGTTCGATATTATCCTTTCATAATTTTCATATGGTAGAAAAACTAAATTAAAACATATACCAAAAGTTCAACAAATCACATTGAAAAAATTAAAAGTTTAGGGACGACATTGCACACATGGATTACATTGAACAAATTTATAATTTAAAGACTTAGAGACCATTTGTGTAATTTACTCAAAAGAAAACTAAACATGCTTAAAAAAGACTATATTCCGCCCGCAGAACTGCTGGTTTTGGAATTCGAATATTAAAACCAAAATAAAGAGAACAAAATCTAAAAAACTATGTGGCAAATTCAGGTTCAGGTTTTTTATAACATAATTAAAAACATATAAATTATATTATTCGGCTATTTCATTTCTTTTCCTTCAATGAGGATGCATATTTTCAATAGGGGTCGAATTTCGTGTCATGTGTTAAGTCCTTTATAGGGCAAGCACACGGGAATTCCCGTATAATGTATGTCGGAAAATTAACATTTTGAGAAAGAATGAAAAAATTAAATAAAGAAGGAAAAAGAAGAAACCTAAAATAAAGCTACACAAAATATGTCTTAATGAACGAAAAAGGTAAAAATAGAAAAGAAAAAAAAAGGTTAAAGCAAAAGTGAAAAGGAGAAAGAGGTACTAGAGAGTAGAAAATTATAAGATGCAAGTGAGAGTTGGTGGGGTAAAAAGTTTGAAAAAGGGGAAAGATAAAATAAAAAATGTGTGAGAGTGGGTGAGAGTTGAAAGTAGAGATTGCACTTTACAATATAATTTATATATTGTAATAAAATTTATATCTATTTCGGGATTCATTTTCCACAAAATTATGTTTTGCCACTTAAGTTTTCGGGATCATGACAAGTTTGCCCCCAGATGTTTCAATTCTTACATTTAATCCCCCCGGCCACTTGACATTGATGCCATTGTGTCCCCTAACATTGACTCCAGCCAAATTTTATCATTTATTAATTATGAAAAACAAAATGGTCATATACCATGTATGCCATTGTGTCCCCTAACATTGACTCCAGCCAAATTTTATCATTTATTAATTATGAAAAACAAAATGGTCATATACCATGTATATATGTGAGAAAAAAAATAAAAGGACTATTTCTCCATTTTTCTTGGGGAAAATGTGACGTTTTCTGAAAATGTTTTTCGGAAAGTCATTGTTCAAGAAAATGATAATATTTTCCTATTTTCGACTGAGACCTGAAAATGAACTAGAAAGTATTTTTCGTCGTTCGGTATGGAAAATTTGATTTTATTTTCCCCATTGCACTCATTTTAATGATTTTTATTTTATTTTTTAAAATCTATAATTTTTAGAAATTTTTGTTTTTGAATTTTTTTATAAATTTTTCTAAATTTTCTTTTCTTTTCTTTTCTTTCATACTTTGTCGGCCACAGCCTCAAGGTCTGAGCCTAGCCTCGCCTCACCTCGCCAAATCTAGCAAGGCTTGAGCGAGGTCGAGCCTCATCGGCCTTGGGCGAGGCCTCGCCCGTGGCCAAACGCCGGCCGTCGCCGGGAAGAAGCAAAAAGAAAAAGAAAGAAAAGGAAAAAAAAAGAAAAAAACAATTAAAAACTCGATTTAAAAAAATAAAATAAAAGTAAAATATGTTTGGTGAAAGAAATTGAGTTGAAAGAAGGTATGAAAAATGTTTTCCGTCTTCTGAATGCTTTTTACATTTATGAAAACTGTTTTCCTTAACTAGTTTATTTTTTGGAAATCGAATGCCGAAAAATTTGAAAAAAAGTTTTTCTACAGGTTGTTTTCCATAAAACAAACGAAATATGTATCTCGGTGTGCATTTGGAACTGACTCCGACAAGGTCATCGCCGAAACTTTAATCATGTGCTCTTACATGCAATAAATTCTTGAACTATTATTCTAGTTGTATATATATACATACGAATTTTTTTTTTTGGTCGGAAATATACATACGTGCTCTCACATGAAATACATTTTTGAAATTATTATTTTAATTATTTATATGCACATGTACTTAAAGGACGGATTTACCCTCGACCCACCAGCGCACCGTCTAAACCCCCCCGGACGGCCACGGCACCAGAAGCGAGTCGATGCGCCTCCTCGTATCATGCTTCGACGAATGATCCATCGTCTCTCTCTACCTTCTCTCTCTAAACCTCAAGCGCAGGTGCGTCTTCTTCTTCTTCTTCCCTCCCCGTTTTGGTGCTTACCCTTTTCCGCTGATCCTTTCTTGGCCTCGCGGTTCGTTTCTTCGGCAGGTGGGGCTGGCGCCGCTGTTCCGGCGACTGCGGACGGCTCATGGATGGTGGGTTTCCTTGTCCGGTGCCTTGCCTTGGCGTTTGATGTTTTTGCTCTCTTTTTGGTTTCGGTCGAACGTTGTGGGTTGTTTTCTTGTGCCCGTCGCGCGTTTTGATTTCTTGATCCGCGTGTTTGATGATGTCTTATGCTGAGAATTGGGTGGATGTGCTCGTGGATTGCATTTGGAGGCTAGGCTGGGGTAGAGCGATCCCTTTACACCGAATTTGAACTGTTTTGATTGTTGTATTTCGGCCATTGGAGCTCGCTTTGGTGTCTGACTTACGTTTACTTTTGGTTGAAGATTGCTTGTTTGGTTGGAGAGAGAGAAGCGGCTATTTGGACTTGGTTGCATGGTGTCTTCAATCTGTTGAGCGGTCCTTGTCGAATTCAAATGTTATCCTTTATAAATTTTCTGCAAACCTGTCTAGAGTCTAGACTAGAGTGGTTTCGTCACTTTATTTACCCTCTTCAATTGGAGATGGGAGTTTTGGTAACCCAGAAGCTTATCATTTATAGCCATTATACGTTTGCATCAAAGAAATTAGTCTGTGGGATCTGATAGGCCCAAAGATTTCTAATCTAGTTTGAATAAGCCAAAAGGTGGCATGAGGATGGTAGCAAGCAAAAAATCTTCCACTTTTTATTTATCACAAATTGGTTTCCATGCCCACAGTCAATCTGGGAATGATATTGGTAAATCCCTCTGCCATTGTATGCCCAAAAGATATTGCCAAATTTGTTCACATAGCAATCCCATCCCAAAGCAGAGCATTAAGAGGTGATCAACAAAATGAAGCCAAAATTCCGAAAAAAAAAAAAAAAACAGATATTCCTCTGCAGATGTCAGCTCTTAAAATAGCGTTCAGGGAACGATTTTGGCTGGACTGCCTCCTCCATAAGTGGTACTGGCGCCACCTATTCGCAGTGGAAATTCTGGTTTTCCAGGTCATTTCCAAAGAAAGTTCACACTCCAATTAAAGAAATGTAAAGCATAATTTCTGTTTGAGGACTTGATAGAAGATTTCTGGTGGTCAAGAACCATCTGGCCTTATGTTGCCCTCTGCAATCTGGTTTCTATACACGTTCGGAAAATTTTATTAAGAGTTCCAATGTCCCATTTTTGCACCATCAGCACAGAGGATGATTTTTTTTGTGGTTAAAAAAGCAGCATCTGTGCACGCTTGAATTGTGGCAACTTTGAATTTTGGTGGCATGAAACTGGCTTTATGATACTTATATGATAGCGTGAGATAGATGGTATCTTTTTTTTTTTTATGTCAGAACTTTGTTTTTGAAGCCGGTAGATTAACTTCAGACAAAATGCTTTTCTTGTATGCTTTTCTGTTATAGCAGATGAATAACCTGTCAATTCTTTTTTCTCCCAAAACCTAAAATAAGACTATCCATCTCTTTGTGAGATTGCCTAGCATCTCTATGTGACCATGAGTGAAAGCTGCGAATAAGTTGGCTTAAAATCCTCGATTAGTATGTCATAGGAAAGTTTCCATTGGTTGGTTACTCATTTTGTTGAAGTTTGAGGGTGTTGTAACTCTCAATTAGTGCTTAGAATTACTATTTTCCTCTGTTTCAGTTGCCAAGGCACAAAGATGTCGTCTATGTATGCATAAATTTTCCTAGTAATGATGTATCAAATGTCATTTCTCTGGAGGTTCATCCTCATATTTCCTTGAGACAAAGAGTTGTGGCTTGGCTGAATGGCCATTTTGCCTTTTTTCTCTGTCAGTTTGGAGGTGGGTGTGATTTTGAAATATTTCTTCATACCACTTGGGGAAGTGATATTTTTGAATGAATAAACGTACTTATTTACAGCACAATTACTCAAGTAAACCGGATATTCCAGAATCATGTGGCACTATCGTCAAGTAGGAAGTTGCAGTGTGGATTAACTTTTTCTACTAGTGGAGGTGTGCGCGCAAGCTTCATACTTCAATTGCTTTACATTCTAGTTCTTTACAGTACTTAGCTTCTTTCAAAATTCTGTTAAAAAGAAAAAAAAAAGAGAAAGAAATTGAGCTTCTAGTAAGCTACTGTTTGTATTGGACTATCGAGATGATCTAACATGATTTTAAAGAAGTTGTTTTCATACAGCACTTTCGAGTTATCAATTGAGGGGCTGTATCTGTTTAATCAGAAACTGGATGTCACTACCATGTGTATTGAATAGTCTCTTGCATCAGGTGTAGTATGTAATGAAGCATTAGTGCCAAACTACAATACAAGTTTCCCTAATTTTAAAGAAAAGAGTTCCCTAATTTGTGCCAACTAAATCAAAAGTGAAGCACTACAATTAGCATTGAATTGAGCACCATCTAAAAAGTTGCTTGCAATTAGAGTTTATGCTTAAATGCCACACTTCTATCTGTTTTAATCTTTACACAATTGTTTATACAGTTTCTTCTCTAAGATATTGTGGTCTTTGCATAGATTTTTCGGCAAAGAAGTGTGTGCCATGCGATGCAAAGGATCTGAGGCCCATGACTGAAGAAACAGCCAATGAACTAATTTCTAAGGTTTTTTTTTTTGTGTGTTTTTTTTCTCTTCTTTTTTCTGTATTGTTGCCCCAAAGATTCCTCTTAGTAGTTGATTCTGTTGATAGGTACCTAAGTGGAACCTGGTGAATGAAAATGGTGTTCTGAAGCTGAATCGTTCTTGGAAAGTGAAGACTTTCCTTAAAGGACTGGAGTTGTTCAGGCTTGTAGCTGAAGTTGCAGAATCAGAAGGTCTGTGACATTAAGTTAATAATATTGAGTTTGTAGTTTTACTATTTAGTGATGCCATGGAGTAGGCAATATCATTAACATGTGAGTAACTTTGATGTGTTCAATGCAGGTCATCATCCAGATCTGCATCTTGTTGGATGGAATAATGTAACTATTGAAATATGGACACATGCAGTTGGTGAGAACTCGTTCCTGTTTCTTTTTTCCCCTCCACCTTTTTCCCGCTCTCTGTGCTTTTCATGTTGATATACTGGCATTAGTTAAGTTGTTGACAACAGCATCAACAGCAACGACCAAAAGACTTTTCTCGTGTTGTTAGAGCTGCATTATTAAACTCTTTAGTGACGGAAAATGTTGCTTTTATCTTGTTTATTCTTGTGAGAGATTCATTTGTGTGAAATTGTATATTCTATGAATGGTGAACTTTTTTTCCTCTTTGCATGTGATGAGAATACTTCATTTCAGTATGAAAGGGAAAACAATTGGCAATGGATGTGTTGCCTAATTTGTAACTTGCAACTTCAGTCAGTACAAACCAAAAGAAATAAAACTTTATGGGAAAATAACACAAACAGTCCTTGAACTTTGGCTCAATGTGCAATGTGGTCCCTGAACTTTTAATTTGTTCATTCTAGTTCCTGAACTTTAACCCAATGTGCAATGTGGTCCCTAAACTTTTAATTTGTTCAACGTCATCCCTGAATTTTTGATATATATTCGATTTAGTCCCTGAACTATATGAAAATGTTCAATATAGTCTTTCCATTGAATCAATGGAAGGACTATATTGAATATTGTCATATAGTTCAGAAACTAAATTGAACATGTATCAAAAGTCTAGGGACCACTTTGAACAAATTAAAAGTTTAGGGATCACATTGAACATTAGGCTAAAGTTCAGGGATTACATTGAACAAATTAAAAGTTCATGGACTAAATTGCACATTGAGCCAAAGTTCAGGGACTGTTTGTGTCATTATCCCAAACTTTATCTTTGGATTTCCATTTTCATATCATCTCAAGAGAGTAATGATTTTGAGATACAGAAAATGCCTTCCTATCGTTCATTAATTTTGTCTGCTGAAGTACCCTTAGGCAAGTTCCTTGAGTTGCCTTTCCGAAAATTTGTGCTTCTACCATCTTTCTGCCTAGTTTTCCATGCATGAAATTATGCGCGTGTTTCTCAGGTGGGTTGACAGAAAATGACTTCATACTTGCTGCTAAGATCAATGGACTGCCCCTGCAAGATCTATTGAGGAGGAAAGCCAAGAACTGATATGCTCTAACTAAGAGACTCCCTTGGTACTGTGTTACACATGTTTTCCTCTATACACAACGTTTCGTCATCATCGAGTCTTCGGTACTATAGTGTCTCAAGGATTGTAGATGGTGATAGTTTTGTGAAAAAACTTAACTTATAATAAAATTGCCTAGTACTCGGATACATTTCATGGAGCTCAACTGGAAACTCAACCCATGCATAATATGGCTTTTGCATGCTTATCAAATTGAAACTAGGATGCTAATATTTGAGACAACTGAATTAGCAGTATGATGAGACTGATGTGTGACTAGCAGGCTGACGTTCTTGTTGCATGTGAGAGCTCGGACTAGATTTTTAAGCAGTATCTTGGAGGTGCTGTATGACCTTTATGAGGGGAGGTTGGCACCTAAGATTGAATTCCAAATAACTGTATGGAGAGAGTTTAGTTTCAGGGTTGATGTTGTTACATGTTTACTCTAATTGATATATTTAGCAGCACAATCAACTGAGTTTTGTCTTATTTCGACCTGAGTAGAGGCTTTGTTGTCCATCCTTATTTGTAATGTTCTATATTCAGAATCTCTGGAGAACAGGATGCACATGAATCTGAGGTTTTGATAGTCGATGATTATCAAGGAAAATGCCCAACAAAATTGATTTGCAATTGCGAAGGAACAATCATAGAGCCATACAGGAGTTTCGAGCCGAATACATTGTGGATTGTAAACCTCAGTTTTTGGAAACTCAATACCTATAGTTGAATTATCCAAAAGAGGAATGATTAAGTGACAGTCATTAATCTACTATGAGATTAACCGTCTATTTTGGGCAATAAAAAGCAAAAAACAAATGAGTATAAATTATTGCGGGGTTCACTTCTTAAAAAATTTGTGGCTCACAATAGATTGTTATTCTCATAGTTGTCCAAAAACTGTTGTGCTAGTCCAAAAACTATTATACTAATAAAGCCCTATTCAAAATGATTTTTATTGTCATAAATGTAGCCAGTCAACATAAGAGAGTAATTCCAAAGTTTGATTGAGGTGCTACATTTACTTCATCAAGCCAATGTTGCAAAGCTGTTTTTGGCAATAGCCTCAATCACACGTAACATGTTTTCTCACCTCAATCATGATACAAGCTGCGATTTAGCATTGCCATCGAAAAATAGAGATCTCCTGAAACAAAGATGCAAGTTTTTTTTCCTTTCGGTACGCTCCAACAACTACCACAAACCAGTTCAGATCTATATAATTTTCTGGTTCGTCGATATGGCTTTTCCAGACGTGTGCTGCAGAATCGATAAGAGACTATACTACTGAAGGGGGGAAAAAGGAACTTGTTAGAACATGATAACCGCGAAAAGTCCTAATACTTCCTTGGTATGGAGAATGCCACTGATTCAAAGCTAGTCATACTTTGTTTTATGAACGAATTCAGACTTATGATCATGCGCAGGGAGCCGAGTCGGGAATTAAGATTTAGGATCTGTGGGTATTCAATTCTGATAAATCTCGAGCAAGAATCTTAGGGCACTAGGACTGGGAAGCAATAAATGTTCATCTAGAAGCCTCGCAGTGCAAGAGCAAAGTTTGCAAGTCCGATGCGTAGGGCTTACTGAATCTTTCGATTTTTGGGAAAAAACACTATACTTGTCGTAATTTTTGTTCAACATTTATTTTAGTGTCAAAACTTTTCGAGTGATTACTTAAATTCCACATCGGTGGAAAAACTATCACTTCAATATCTTAAATAACGAATTTCGATTCATCCTGCATAGCTTTTTTAATAAAATAAAAAAGGAGGTTCAACATCGACAATGACATGGCCATCTTTACAAAGCGACCCCATTTTATTATAAAACTTATTCTCTCTCGCCGTTTCTGTGGCGGATAAACCGGCGGGCTTCTAGCAGATGCCCGAAGAAAAAGAGAACTGAGGCAATTCAAAGGGAGATCTCACTCTACATCTTAGCTTTTCTCAAGCTTTTGTAAAGTTTTCTTCTTCTTTGTTATCTTATCCCTATAACTTTTCTCTCTGTTTAGACTCTGCTCATTGAGAAAGCTTGGGCAGAGCAAAAAGAAAATGTTGGAATTGGGTTTCGTTTGTCAAGCGCGGACGTCCTCTTCCACTAGGAAATTTCAATTCCAGTGAAACAAAATCACACAAATAAAGTAGTAGACCTCCATTGCGAGTTTGAGTTACTAATTTTGCCCAAATCCTCGATTGGGAGGTTAGGATTTGAAGAAGAGGCTGAATTTGGGGCAAACATGCGAGACGACGTGTTCTTGTGGCTTGTCTTGCTCCTGCTCTCCATTGCAAGATGCAGCTCTTAATTTTGCCCCAAATTGCTCGGTCTGAATTAGGATTTGAAGAAGTGGTGATAATTGGCTCGATTTGTCTCCATTTTTTAATTACAGTTTAAATATCACGTGCAGCGACATTGTTTATTGCATTTATGATGAAATATTGCCACGTCGGATCCTCGCATCCTAAATCGACAATAACACTTAAGTGATCGCTCTTCACCAAAGTGGTATTGAAGTGATTCATCAAAAAGTTTCGGCACTGAATGAACTCCATACAAAAGTAGTTATGATACTTATACTGTCATTTTCCTTCCCTCCAATCTTAGAGGACGAATTTACAAGGAGTATAAGCACATCTAGATCGACAAACTATTGATATCATAACTCGGATCAAGTTGATGACCCTAAAAGTTAAAAATCCGAAAACAGTCTTTTTCGCAATCAAGCTTATGGTCACGCAGTCGCCAATGTACAAGACAACTGAATGAATCACACTCATGGAAAGGGGGGAAAAAGCACAAAAACCAAGTGAAGGAATCATATCAAAATTGAAGGCTGGGGCAGCATTTGGAAGCAAAAGGCAGGGAGTGGAACTCTGCCTTTCTTTCCTGTCATTCAGACCAGGCCTACTTTTGAATCAGACTTATGCTTTAGAGATCTGCTTTTAAGCCACACCCACATGCTACAAAGAAACCTTCTTTTGAAGTACTTCCATATATGCATGAACAGATCGAATAATTTCCTTTTGCATACTTATTGCCCAATGATTGTTACAGCAAAAAAAACAAGAACACGGAAGAAATAATGGCGATTCGCCTTGTTCACGCTGTCCCTAGAACTACAATGCCTTCGACACCCCTTTACAAGTTCCCATCTTGTTTCTGTGTAGTTGCTCCGAATCCTTATTTTTAAGTAATAGAAAGGAATAAATCTTCGTCACACCAGGCGGGAGAGGAGTCAATCTTTGACCGAGTCCGAATCTTTTGTGGAATTTCTTGTTTTTCCATCAGAACTTTCATAATCTCGATGTGATTCCTGAAAAAAAGGACAGGAGGATGCAATGGATTATCAGAATGGGAATGAGAGATTTTGTCAAGAAAATAGGAACCAAAGGACTAAACTGATTGTCCACTACTAGGTCGAATAGTGTCGAATAGAACCAAGAATTCAGCGAAGTGGAAAGCTGCATTTGGCTTAACTCTCAGCACTATAGATCTAGAGTTCAACACACGCACAGACAAAATCAGCCCCTATTGCTACCTATAATGCCCATTTGGCTCATAATTCTCACACAGAATGAAGAGAGCTCCATATTTTTTATTAGCTGAAACGGTTTACTCTAGGGGACCACATTCCAACAAGCATATTTTGGTTATACATGATAAAGCACGACAACGTTACTCAGACCCCATGAGAATTATTTGAGACATTATGCCGACCACAATGCTACAGACACACAAAACTGATGCCAATTGAAGACATTGGCTCTCGAATGCTTCCTCAAATATGAGGCACTTTGACAATCTACAGAAATTGACATACAGATAAAACAGAGAGGGAAATCCATAACATGAACTCCAACCTGGCAAGAGTATGCAATCTTTGACCACTAAACTTGCAAATTTAAGTCACCATTTCGATAAAAGGTGATGCAGTGAAATGGACTGAAAGTTTGAAATCAAAACCTCATCAAGGCTGGGAATTTTCACTTTCTGTGTTGTTCTGATAATATTATTCAAAGGAACGCATAAAGTTGGATTGCAACATTCCGCTTCAGCATGACAAAAGCATTTCATGTATCTGGTAGCAAATTTGTGGAATATATTTAAGTGTTTATCTTTAAATAGAGGTCCATCATAGAGGAGAATTACTTAATCACTTGTGAACGAAATCATTTTGTATTGATTTATTCTTCTACTTTTGTCTGATGACAGCTACCTCTCAACTTCCCTACTGTGTTGTTACTGTTTTTGGTAGTCTTGTGTTTAAAGACTATGGTCCCTCTTCTCCTGTGTGTTCATGTGAAAATGACATTTCTCCTGTGTCTTCACGTGAAAAAGATGTTTGTTTTAGGGAAAATTTTCAAGCAAGGAAGTTTCCTAACATTGTGTCCTAGCTCCCTTATAGTTTGCCTGATGTTATATCAATCCCTAACTACGTTATGTCTTTAAGGATTCCTATCATAGCATTAAAAAGAGCTAAACTGTTTCTGGGGAATTTTGGTCAGTGCAAAATACCAAATGAGGACACCAAAATACTCAAATGAAATAGAAACACAGAGAAAAAGACAGGAAGTGCTTCATTATTCATTACTTCCTGAAGAAAAACAACATGCATCAGATGGAGGACTATTTGAGGAAACAGGAACTAAAGATATGCTATGGACATGAGTGTTTTCGAAGTTCACCACCTTAATATATGGGAATTGTTAAGTGGGATTACGTGACACAGAGAAGGTTTAGGAAGGAAGCTAAACATCGTGAGAGATCAAAAGGTGGCATCTTCTGCTGAATATCTAGAACAATTTGGTAGCATCTTGAATGTGAAAAACTTCGGAATGACTAAGAATGCTAGAGTTGATAATGTTTTTAAGGCAGCTCGAGGTGGTAATCTCCAATGAAGGGGATGAATTGTAATGCTTCTTTTGCAAACTAGCAGAAATATCAGTTAATGACTCTCAACTACACTGGCAATTTTATGAGTCGTAATTGCTCTTATGTCTATCAAATACAGGAGGACAGTCTGAACAGAGCAGGGTCTAGTCAGAGTGTTGGATGGACTAGAGGTGGTCATTTCACATACAATAATCTTTTAGACCGGAGACCAAGTAAACAATCCTGTTTTACTCCCTTCAACAATGGTCTAGCTGCGTGGATGGGACACAGGTGATTTGATTTCTTTTCTTACAACCGATTCATCAGAATTATTCCACAGGCGAGCATGGCTTGCCACCTTTAATACTTAAGTTTCCTCCTCCTCATAAAGGAATAAAAAGTGGCTTTTCATACTTCATACTTCTTGTTGTTTTGTCTACATTTCATCATGATTTTGATGAACCATAGAATACAGATTTAGCAATACATCTCAGAAATGACAGCGAAACCATATGTTTGGTTTGCCTTCTTACAACCAAGACATACTCATTAGTACGATATTTACAATCTTAGGATAGAGTGCGACTGAAGAAGATGTACTTGTTTGATCACTTTTGGAACAATTCAAGAGCGCATTAAGGTGATATTGCAGCAAATTGTGGCATGATTATAGCTCAGATCATCTCTACTTAACCAGAGTACCATAACAATGACTGAGGCAATCACTAACCATATGTGGACAATACAAAGATCAATGGCAGTAATTGCAGATTAAATCAATCCAATGCACTCCAATCGCTATGCAAAGACGGCCAGTCAATACATTCAAAATGACATAAAAGGAAGAGAAATTTACCTGTGTTTCCATGACTTGTTCTTCATTTTGTGACAGGCTTCTGCAACAGGGCAGTCAAATAAACCTCCCCATTCTTCAACCCGCTCGAGTCCGTCTTATTCGCTGTCGCCCACTTCACCTTCTTATACCCAAGCTTCCCGATCAAGGGCTTGTAGACCTTCTCTATACTCACCCCTTTGCCGAAGAAGTGATCCAACCACAAGTAACCACCGGCCCTCAACACCCGATCGATATCGAACAGCATGAACTCGAGCACTGTCTCCGGTATCCACCGGTTCACCGCGTGCCCGCACCGGACCAGATCCACCACCCCGTCGAACACCGGCAGCCGCTGCTGCAGCGGGACATGCAAGGGCACGAGCCCCCGAAGTGCGGCTGCCTCATTGTAAGGTGCGCCAAGGTTCATGGTGGTGGTGACAACGGTCACATTGTGCATCTTCATGGTGGCAGCAAAAGTGCCCGTGCCGCCACCGATGTCGATCCCGAGCCTAAGGACCGAACCAGCAGACTTAGCAATCTGAAGCAACTGCGAAACAGGGAGATCCAGCTCAGATGTGTAGGTGGTGAATTTTGAGGATTCATGGGAGGTGTCAAACCCCAGGTTGGGGTTGTAGTGATTGAGGCAAGAGAAGCTCTTGCAGGAGTACTTGGCCCAGATGACATTGCTGTCCGGGAGGGCAGGAGGGAAGGGGTTATGCGGTAACGAGGAGGCGGCGGCGGCGGCAGGCTTCGGCGGGGTGCGGGAGAAGCAGCGGCGGCGGGGGAGGGGGTGGCAGCCGCGGAGGATCAGGGCCTCGGCAAGGTCCGGGTCGTGGGGGCAGAGGGAGAAGGGGGTGTAGTTCATGAACCGGTGGAGGAGGTCCGGGTAGCCGTGGCAGGCGGAGGCAATGGGGGAGAGCTGGGAGTGGAGGAGCAGATCGGAGGGGATGGCGGAGCCGGGGTTCGCGGCGGCGGAGGCGGAAGGCGCGGAGGGGGGCTGGAGGCGCGTGAGGTGGTTGATGGTGGCGCGTATGGTGTGGAGCTGGTGGAGCAGGTGGTCGGGGACGGGCTGCGGGGTGGGGGCCTTGGGGGACTGGACGGTGGTGGAGAGGTGGTAGAGGGAGAGGATGTTGGTGGCCACCATGGCCATCAGCAGCACCAGGTTCAGCCCCATTGTGAATCCCATCTCTCTCTCTCTCTCTTTCTCTCTCTCTCTGCTGCTCCTGTTCTTGATCTTGTTATTGTTCTTGATCTTGTTCTTGATCTTGATCTTGACCTGATCTTGATCTGTCTCTCTGTTACTCCTGTTCTTGATCTTGATCTTGATTCTGGGTCTTGTTCTTGTTCTTGATCTTGATTCTGGGTGTTCTTGCTTTGGTCTTTGAGCTGCTCTCTAATCTTCACTTCACTTCACTTCAACTTCAACTTCACTTGTCTGGGTTGACTCAGGAGGGGAGAGATAAGGGAAAGGGCTTTCAGTTAGCTGTTGACAGAAAAGAAATCAGACAAGGGGGAGCAGGGGTTTTTATCGGGTGCGGTTTTGATTGATCCATGATTAGCGTGATTAACCCATCTGGGGCTTTCCTGGCCGTTGGATCGCGGGGCGTGTGGGGTCCGATCCGTGAGTGCGTGTCTCGTTTGGGATCCAATGTGAAAGATGGACTTTTGTTTTGGTCCTGTGTGGGTCTTTTTGTTATTTATTTCCCTAATTTTGTCTTTTTTTTTAATACTTTTTTTCCTAGTTGTCGGTGTTGAGGGAAGATATTAAATAAGCTGCGTAAAATAAGGGAATCAAAAGGAGGCACGTGAAACTAGGAGACTGCTCGTAGGTTTTTTTTTTTTTTCATATGTATACTATTAATTATTACAGTTAATATCACGAAAAATCCAAACGGATATATCTATGATAAATTTACCTCAAATTAATTTTTTTACCATAAAAAACTCCAAATTGGTATTCTCGTGATAAATTTGCCACAAACTAATTTTTTGACTATCTATGATAAACGGAGTGTAAAATCCCAAATTATTATACCCGTCAACTGCTACGTGTCATCTCATTCGGCAATTTGATGGTAAAATTGAACGGAACTAATGGAGGGTAAATTTGTTACGGGTGTATCAGTTTAGAATTTTTGGTGGTCAAAAAATAAGTTTGGAATATATTTATCATATGTGTACCGGTTTGAGATTTTTCGTAATATTAATCCTAATTATTACAGATAAATTCCAAATTTGGTATCTGCCTTCAAACTTATCAAAAAGGAAAAACTTTAAAAACAATCTCTACAGTTGGGTTTAGACATGAATTTTGCATCCTCAATATAGAAAACATACCATTGCCATCTTCAATTTTTTGCTTTTTCACTTTGGGTCGGATCTATCATTTGGTCCAATTTACAAATTTGTCATTTTCCTTTCAATTTTGTCCCTTCCAATATTCCGAATTCACCGGCAATGCAAATGTCACGTACCCAAAATCCTAACACACTTACTCCCTGCTTAGCCTTCTCATTCTTCGCTCCACCGATGCTCGTCTCACCGTCACCTCCACCACCATCCAATTGAGCCACCACCTCGTCGTGTTGTCTGCCCCTCCCTCTATTCTACCTGTCATCAAGCTTGGTGGCTCCTCCATGGTCGTTGAGATTTTGGCCAAGCTTAGCAAGCTTGCGCTCCGGCGCAGGATCAAGTGCAAGTTAGAGCTTGACGCTTATTGGAGTCTAGCAAGGTGTAGAATTGGCCGAAAAATTCCCGATTTCAGGCCTTCAAGACCAGCCAGGCTGACCGGAACGGAGATGGGAGGTCACGATCAACTCACGATTCGCCGGCGCTCCACCGTCTAGGGCGGCACCGGACACTCATGGGAGGACCTACATCCCTCTCTCTCTGATTCTCTCTCTTTGGTTTGGCTCGGTTTCTCTCTCTTTCTCTCTGGAATTTCGTCAAACAGGTTCCTTCCTTCTCCTTTAGTTTTTCTTTATTTTCTGTTGATCGATTCCCGCCCAAATTCGGTTAGAACCGATTACCGATCGGTTGGGATCGATTAACTGGTGCAAGCTGGATATTTTCCAGCTGGCCCAGTCGATTTCCACGTGCCAAAAATAACTGGAAATGATTGGTGAAGTTGCGGGTTTAATTCGGTTTTCTAGGTTTATTGTGCTTCGGGTTGAGTCAGGCGAAGAAGACAACCTACCCGGGTCGGGTCGGGTTGACCCGACCGACCCGGAAGATCCAGGTTGGTCCAAATTCTCAAATTCGACCCAATTTTGACACAATTTCCAAATTTAACCCCAAAATTGAATTCCCCATCATATTCTGAACCCAAATATATAATTTGTCCCAATTTTCATTATAATTGTGTTCAAGATTTTCTCATTTTTATATTCGGGTTAATAGGGTTTTGTTTAATTTGATGTCCTAATGACCTGATTAGGCAAAATTGATGCCAAAATTGAATTACCCACACCTGATTAGCCCTAGAAATGATGGTCTCACATTTCGAGAATTTCATATTAGGCATGATTCCCAATTTGGGTTCAAAATTCTTAATTTTCAATCAAATTTTGGGAATTTTTTTTATTTTTATGTCAAATTGTGCAATTGGACTGACCATTATGCAATTCAAGGTCCCAGAATCATTTGTTGTGAAGACACTATGACTTAAAAATGACTAGAAAAAATTTAATTTAATTTTTGGTTCAATTCGGGTTTAATTTTGCCCAATTTTGGGAAAAACATATACCCGATTGAAATTTTTCAAAATTGACAATGTATTCATGAAATTGGATTTAAAATAAAACTAATGACTATTTTTATGGAATTTTCTGATTCCATTTGCTATTTTTCTTGATTTTCTCACCTATTTTAACTAAAAGAAATTAAGGAAAAATGCAGAAAAATGGTAAAAAATTATTTTTTGGTTTAGAAATAGGTTTCTATGCTTGGCCAAGATTCCTAGACCTAATTTTGAAATTTTTGAAAATATGAAAAAAATGAGCTAAAAATTAGGTGCCAACAGTTGCCCCTCTTTGAGATTGAGCTCGTTAGAGGTTGATCTCAAAGACAAGGTGACACCTAAATTTTTAGTCGACTCACTGAACAAGATAAGATGGAAATTTCACAACAACTGATTAGGGATATTGCTTTTGAAATTTGTGATCTAATCCAACGGTTCTCTTTTTAGAACATATTTTGAAAGGTTCTTAATGATTGAGAGAGAGAAGCTTACCTGTTTGTGAGCCGTCTCTTTATTGCTTATCCAAGGGCATGAATTGATAGTGGTGATGATTATGATGGTTATTCGGATTTCGTGGTTTAAGGACGAACTCACGAACCATGAACGCCTAAGGCTCTTCGCTTAAGGATTTTGGAGACTTACCAAGTGGTTCCTCACCCGTAGGATTTTGAAAATTGCCTAGGGACTCTTCGTCTGTAGGACTTTGGATTTGCCTAGTGGTTCCTCACCAATAGGACTTGAATTTGCTTAGTGGTTCCTCACCAGTAGAACTTTGAAAATTGCCTAGGGGCTCTTCGCTTATAGGACTTTGAATTTGCCTAAGGGCTCCTTGCCTGTAGGACTTGAATTTTGGAGACTTGCCATGTGGTTCCTCACCCGTAGGATGGTTCCTCACCCGTAGGATTCTGGAAATTGCCTAAAGGCTCCTTGCCAATAGGACTTGAATTTTGGAGACTTGCCATGTGGTTCCTCACCCGTAGGATTTTGGAAATTGACTAGAGGCTTCTCGCCAATAGGACTTGAATTTTGGAGACTTGCCATGTGGTTCCTCACCCGTAAGATTTTGGAAATTGCCTAAAGGCTCCTTGCCAATAGGACTTAAATTTTGGAGACTTGCCATGTGGTTCCTCATCCGTAGGATTTTGGAAATTGCCTAGAGGCTCCTCGCCAATAGGACTTGAATTTTGGAGACTTGCCATGTGGTTCCTCATCCGTAGGATTTTGAAAATTGCCTAGAGGCTCCTCGCCAATAGGACTTGAATTTTGGAGACTTGCCATATGGTTCCTCACCCGTAGGATTTTGGAAATTGCCTAGAGGCTCCTCGCCAATAGGACTTGAATTTTGGAGACTTGCCATGTGGTTCCTCACCCGTAAGATTTTGGAAATTGCCTAAAGGCTCCTTGCCAATAGGACATGAATTTTGGAGACTTGCCATGTGGTTCCTCACCCGTAGGATTTTGGAAATTGCCTAAAGGCTCATCGCCAATAGGACTTTAGATTTGTCTAGTGGTTTCTCATCGGTAGGACTTTGGGAAGACTTCAAACAATGAATGTCTTGACGTGAGTTATGTGATTTTGAGGTTTCACTAACCTTTGTATGGTTTTTTAGTTGACCAAAAACTATTTTGAAAAGTAGTTTTGAAATTAATCAAAACTGTTTGAAACGTGGTTTTTTCTTAGTTTACCACAAACTGTTTGAAAATTTAGTTTTAAGTTGACCAAAAACTTTTTGAAACCTGGTTTTGAAATATGCATTCTTTGTATTAAATGCATTTCGGGCAATCAAATTTCCTTTTCAAGGAATTATTTGAACAAAATGCTTGCAAACTTTCAAGAAATGCTTGCAATGATCGTTTAGAAGACCTTCATTAGAAAGAATTTGTTTCAATCTATGAATTTGGTCTTTCTTCATTTGATTGAAAGGGGACTTGTCTAATATCCCTCAATTTTTCTCTCTTAACCAATTCTTAGGTGTTCGGAGATGTTCGAATTGTACACAATCCAATTGATCCGATAAGGTCTTTCAAAAGGTTGTAATGTTGGCTTGGTTAATAGCTATTCAAAGGATAGGCATTCTGAGGCCAAGAAAAGGATTTCGTCACAACTGACTTCGGGTTTTCAAGTTAAGAACCTCGAGGATAAGACAAGATAGTATTGCATACACTTCTTTGAGTGATGACTTCTTGTCATAAAGTCATATTTCTACTCTCAACATCCCAATCCGAAGAGTCTTTGGGGAGAGGTTGTATTGTTGGTATTGGGTAGGTTCAAAAAAGCTCATTTGTTTTGAATTCAGGGTTTTCATGAAAATTGATGATCTTCTTGGCATCACCACTTTTTCTTTTCTTCTTTTTTCACTAGAGATCTTTTCTTCTATGAACATCAGAGTCCTCTAACATTCATCATAATCTCTTTTCTTTTGATCATTCTCACTTGTTGTGATCTATGATCTCTCATGATCTTGACTTTGCTTTATCACGATTTTTTGTCGTTTTGAGCTTTCTTTTGCACTCTCTTTTCTTTCTCATTTTTCTTGGGCATTTGGCCTTGCTTTTACCAGGCACACTGCTTTTTCATGCCCCAGACTCTTTTGTCTTTGATTTTTTTTTTGAATTCTAAGGACTCTGTGTTCTGCCCTTTTATTTCCTATCTATTAAAGTGGATCATATGCTCATGCTCCAGTGTGAAGAGATGATCACCAATTT